CAGGGGTTCCAATATCCTCTGGATTCTGAAGACACCTACACACATGTGGCACACACTCATAAAGACACACACGCATACACATAAATATTTTTTAAAATATTTGACTGGAGATGATGCATGTGCCTGTAATTTCAGCACTTGGGAGACAGACACAGAAAGATTACCGCAAGTTTGTGGCCAGCCTGGTGTACATAGTAAGTTCCAAGCCAGCAAGAGCTATATAGCAAGAACTTGTCTCAAAAGACATGTCTGGAGACATGGTTCAGTAGTTAAGAAGACTGGCTACTGTTGGAGAGGACCTGAGTTCAGGTCTTAGCACCCACATGGCAGCTAACAACCATCCAAAACTCCAGTTCCAGGGGATCCTATGCCTTCTTCTGGCCTCTGCAGGCATTGTATGACATGGATGCATTTACATGTATGCAGGTTAAACATCATACACACAAATAAATAAAAAATACTCTCCCAAACTAAAAACAATCCCATTTCCCTATTTTTTGGTCTTTTTTTGAGACAGGGTCTCCTTGTAGCCCCAGCTGTCCTGGAACTCGATAGGTAGACCAGGCTGGCCTTGAACTCACAAAGATCCGCCTGCCTCTGCCTCTGCTGGGATTAAAGGCGTGCACCACCACACCCGGCTATTTCCCTATTTTAATAAACACATTTCCACATTTTGCAACATTCCAATGTCTGTTATTACAAAATGTGCAATTCTCAAAATATATATTAATTCATTGTATAAATTATGTGTGCTGCTACCTGTGGTACTAGAAGTTTTAAGCTGTTTAATTCCAGGCACGATGGCATACATATTCAATCTTAGCATTCAGGTGGCAGAGGCAGGTGGATCTGTATTTGAGGTCAGCCTGATCTACATAGCAAGTTCCAGGCCAGCCATAACAAAACAAATAACAAAATATATCTTCAAATCATTACATAGCCTTACTATATATCTGGAACCATAGTAAGTAACATGAAGAAAATATGAAAACTCTGTTTTTGCCCTTCAGAACTTCAATCTAGCAAGAAAAACAGATATATAGCAGACATTGAGATATGAGAATATTGGGATATTAGGGTATGTGTTAAGATGCCAGTAGACACAGTGTGCTCTGGAAGCATAAAATGATGGTTCTGAAACAGGAGTGGAGAGGGGTGAATTGCAAGGAAAAATAAGTGTAGAGGCATAAAAGGGACACTTCGAATGAGCATTGACACGGTGAAATTTAAATATAGTGTGTATGTACAGAATTGCAAGAGGTAAGGCTGTAATGTTAAGATGGACGTAGATTGAGAAGGATCATAAACTGGAATTCCTAGACCTCGAGTTTGTTAGAAAGGGAAATTCTTCACCCTCAACCCATTGAATCAGAAATGGGGGGAGTGGGGTATGGCCCCTGTGTTTGCAACAAGCCCTCTGGGTGGTTCTCACACTTGACAACTAAAAGAACTACTGCTGCAGGCAGTGTAAAACATCTGAAGGATTTTAAGCAGCAGAAAACTAACCTGATGAGATTTGAGGTGGGTGAGTGGTGGCCACTGATGATTGAAGTCCAACACCCGACTTCAAGGTAGGTATAAGAAAAACTGTTGAATGAATATGGCCTGAGGATAAGATGCAGGCCTAGTCTATGGCAACAGGAATGGAGAGGAATCAGATTTAAGACATGTTTCTGAGGTAGCCCAAGTTCAATCGGGTGACTAAAATACAGTCACACAAATGTGTCACTGAAGTTGCTTTTATATAAAAGGTATAATCTTGTTGAATCTGCCAAATGCTACTTTTGAATGAAGTGGTCCCCACAGACCCTAGAAAAAGGGAGGCTAAGAACAACTTCTGTCTTTCTATATAGTTAAGTGCAAAGGTTGCCTTAGCTTGTACATGAGCCTTATAGTATGCTTTGTATTTCTAACTCTTAACTGTCAGTCAGTAGGTTTACAGACATATTAACAGAAAAATTCTGAGTTTATTTGGAACCAGTCTTTGAGACTGATAACACTGGGATGTGCTGAAAAAAGTAAATTCTGAATTGGAAAAAGCTAGAAACTAAGCATTGGTTCTGGTGATCAAATTCAGGAACTATAAAAGTTGGGCCCTGTTATTGGGTCATTTTTCTAACATTGTCACTATAATCATAGAACCTGATTAATTCAGGAAAAAGCTCAACTAAATGAGTGAATGAATCAAACTTTCTACAACACCTTGAAGGTCATTTGAGAGGTATGATTTAGCCCAGGCCATCTTCGATTTCCTGAGGAAAAGCAACAGAGTTATAGGTCAACCTATATGACTAATTTACCTCATGAAACTCTAGCAGGATACAATTCCTATTTCTATCATGACTCTGGATACTTTTTGTTATTGCATTGTTTTTAATTGATACCAGTATCTTGGCTTCCTTGACCAAGTTATTTGTCCACAACAGCTCCCTGTCAAAAATGCACTTGTCAGGCATGGTAACTCACACCTGTAATCCCAGCATTTAGGAGACTGAGGTTGGTTAGTTGTCTAGTGTTTGAAGCCAGCCTGGGCTATATAATGAGTTCCAGGACAGCCTGGGATACATGAGAGTGAGTTTCTTGTCAAAAAACAAAAACAAAATTCCCCAAACTGCACAGGTTTAGGCTAACTTTAGAGCTGCAGGGATCCTGAGATTAAAACAAAAGCCTCAGCCAGGCATGGTGATACACACCTTTAATCCTAGCACAAAGGCAGGCAGATCTCTGTGACTTCAAGGCAAACCTGGTCTACAGAGCAGTTCCAGGCCAGCTGGGGGTACAGGGAGAACCTGTCTCAAAAAGACCAGATAAAGAAACTGAGGGCCTTGAAGAGTAAATAACCTAAAATATCTATTGTATGGCAAGAGTCTCCAGAATGCTAAAAGGTATCAAAATAGCATTCAGAAGACTAGTAATCATCCTTTTTAGCTTTTAGGAAAGATTAAAACCTCTATTTTCTATCTTAAACCTTTAAAAGAAAACAGAATAGTAGCAAATTTCTTTTTTGCTGTTTTGTTTTTTTGAAACAGTCTCACTATATAGTGCTGGCTGGCCTGGAACTCCATATGTACCAGGTTGGCCTCAAGATTCACCTGCCTCTGCCTCCCTGAGTGCTGGGATTAAAGGCATGTGCCACCACGCCTGGCTCATAAACATGTAAGGAATGGGACAGCTTTTGTAGTTTCTTGTTTTATGTTTTCAGTATTTCAGCTATGCTTAAAATACCTATGAGAAAAAAATACAAAATTTGAGGGAAGAATGCACATGAACAATTTAAGGAAGACATACTAAGTATCTATCTTCTGTCTTTGCCTATGAATGGGTTACTCTATATTGAATACTGTTCATTACATTTAATTATATGTCACATGTAAAGGTGATGTGTCACAACTATCCCTCACAGATTTGAAAAATTCTAAAATTTCAAGCACCGTAGTAGTTCAGGAAACCTCTTTTGCTTTGTGGGATCTACAAATGATTTAGAAACTAGTTGAATCTCACATCCTGTTTGGGTATATAGACTGCACAACTTTAAAGACACATTTGGCCCTGTTTCCTGTTTTCCAAACTTCCCACCACTTTGTACCAAATATATGTGTAATCTAAAAGCTGGGTGTCTACCCTTACTCAATTTCCTGAATGTAGAATTTTATAGACAAAGATATTTCCTACTGGGCATGGTGGCCCACACCTTTAATCCCAGAACTTGGGAGGCAGAGGCAGGTGGATCTCTGTGAGTTCGAGGCCAGCCTGGTCTACATAGTGAGTTCCAGGCCAGCTGGGACTACAGGGGGACCCTGTCTCAAAAAGACCAAAAAAAAAAAAAAAAAGATATTTCCCAATACTTACAGGAAACTTACAGGAAATGTGAGCAAGATTTCCATCACCAAGAATGTATTAAATCCCATGTGTGCCTTGCCTGAAAGAGCAGACGCTCCTGTCTGGAATCCACATTAAGAACAAAATGCATCCAAAAGAGCAGCACTGCTTTTTAGGCAAAATTTGGGAACTTTCTTTTTCTCCCCCCTCAAAGGTAAAAAAGCTGGGACCCTTTTCACACTTCGTATTTGCCCTATGACTCTCCAAAGTGAAATCCCCTTGATTATACTGGGCCAGCAATGGTAGTTCTCCGAGAAAAGGCAAATGTCAGTTACTTTCCTCAAAGAGAAAAACAACCGCAGAACATTAAAGGACTAGGGAAGGACTGTAAAACCTTCAGTTCTTAAGACATTAGCCTTTCTAGCCAGAGTCCCCACACCGCCAACTCCATGTGAAACTGGTCATGTGAGCCTGTTTACAGCCGAGCAGCTGGTGCAACCATCAGGATCCGTGCTGAGGTCCAGGGAGGGGGAAAGATACTGGCCACGTACCCCTTTTCTGCCCTCTTATTTCAAGAAGAGGTTTGCTTCCACCACCTCACCCTCCCAGTTTCTCCACCTCACTTCATGTCCCTCCAGGCAAAGCAGTAAGCAGAGCTGAAACCATCCCGGGACGCTGGGCTCCAGCACCCAACCCCCCCATTTCCTCCAGTTGCTCACTGGGGGGACAGCAGGAAGGGCGAGGACAGTGTCACCCCAGCAGGGTAGTCGACTGATTTCCCTCGCACAGCCCTCCAGGCAATGTTCGCCAAAGACTTGTCCCTGGAGCCGCATCCCCTGGGCAACTGAACTCCGCACGCAGCTGGAAGTTGGGGAAGCTGAGGAAGCTGAGGAGGCTGGGGAGGCTGCGGTGGCTGCCTTCGCCCCGGGCAGAGGCATGCCACACGTCAGCTGGCACGACTCTGAGACTGGGTCACCAGCAGTCAGAGAGCTGCGGATCCCGCAGCCTCGTCCCCGCCGCCCACCCGCAGCCCCATGCCATGCAGCCTGGCTGTCAGTCACCCAGCCGAGCTCAGGCTGCGGGTGCCCAGCGCACTGTCTCCCGGGGCTCAGCCACGTAACTTCCACGTTTTTTCCCCCAAGTCGGAGGAAGTGGGTGACGGGACGTTGGGGGACTCTCACCTCGGCAACACTGGCTCCTCGGAAAGCAGCTACGACTGCTCCTCCACTCCTTTGTCAGCGCCTCCAGACTGCACAGCCTGCTGGGATACGGGAGGACTCAAATGCCACCTCTCCCCGCCCTGGAGGATGAGTCGCGGCTTGGGGGGGGGCGTAGAAAGGAGAGAGGTGGGGCGGGGGGGCGTGCCCGAGTCTGGGGGCGGGGCTTCAGTGTTGCCACCTGGCCCAGGGGTTTCTTCCTTCTCAAGAATTCAAACTACTTCCTTCTCTGTCCTCTGGCCCGCCCCTCCTCTCCCTCCGCCCCTCTGTGAGGATTGAAGGCTGTCTCAGAGAGCCATCTCTTTGCGCTTGACTATCACCCTTGACATCTGACTCTTTTGTTTCACTCCTCTCCCCCACGCTGCCCGCAGTCACTGAGAACCCAAGGCTAGTTGATTCTACCTCCTAGACACTTCTTAACAACTATCCCTCTTTCTCCATTCCCGCTTCAGCATGACAGCCTGTCTAGGCCCCATGACTATTTGCTTAGACTGTTACAGTAGCCTCCTGTTGGGATTCATAGCTTCCACTGTTAGTTTTGTCTAAGCCATCTCCCAGACAGCAACCCAGATAGATCAGTCTAAGGTGATTATGTGACCCTGTTATTCTACATAAAGCCTGGCAATCCCGGAGTGTTGGAAAGGCCTAAAACCCCAGCATTCAGAGGGCTGAGAGAGGAGAATCCTGAATTAAGAACAATTTGGGCTACATAGTGACAGTTTGTCTCAAAAAAAATTTCTATTTTAAATAACATCTTGAGCCAGGCATGGTGGGAAATGCCTTTAATCCGAGCTCTCTGGAGGCAGATGCAGGCCAATTTCTGTAAGATTGAGGCCAGGCTGGTCTACATAGTGAGTTCCAAGCCAGCTGGGGCTACAGGGAGATCCTGTCTCAAAAACCCAAAAGAAATGAATGAATGAATTAATGAATGAATGAACTTCTGTTGCCTCTTAGAGCTTTATTAAAGATAGACTTTTCAGCTGGGCCACAGTTCCCTTCTCCACAAGTTGTCCTACCCATTAGATATTCCCTGGATATCGGTTATGCTATGGCCTCTTATACGTTTATTCAGAGTCTTTCACTGTATAATGCTCTTATCTGTCTTTTGAGTACCTATCTCTTAGGATCCAGGGGAAATGCCACTTTCATTATTAACCTTTCAGAATCTTCCAAAAGAATTTTGCTTTAAGACAACATGTGACTATGTAGCTCAGGTGGCTCAGAACCCACTACGTAGATCAAGATGGCTCTAAATTGCAGCAGTTCTCCTGCCTCTGCCATGCAGGGATTACAGGCATACATCAACATGCCCAGCAGACTCTTCCAGAAGAACTATTGATTCCTGCCCTGTAACCATGGAACATTGCTTATTCTGCTTTGCAATTCTTCCTGACATAGGTAATCACTTGGTGTTTTATATCTTCCTTTCTCCTATGCCTAGACTATGGATGATTCAGAACCAGTCCACAGCTGTCATCACAATGCCTGACCTAAAACAGGCACATACACAATTTAGTCAAACACAATTTTTCATCTCCACTGCATCAGAAGCCCTAAATAGACATAGAAAAGACTTTAGACAAGGCTTCCTTTGACAGTCATCCTCCTTTCAGCAGGACATCTCCATCTTGACCTGGCGAAGTGTTGCTTTTGCAAACACAAACTGGTTAGGCAGCACATCATTGCAAAAGGACCAAAGCTTGTACTTCCCTTGCAGGTCAGACAGGTTTGTGGTACAATATATGGTTGTAGAAAACATAACTGGTACAGCTCACATGAGAATCCAGTTTAGAAAAGTACATGGTGCCACAGAAAATAATTTAGCTTCTAAATAGACATATTACCTAGCTTTGGGAGGCTTTTGATTCCTATTGGTTCAGGCTATCCTTGAGCTCCATATCACTTAAACCTTTACACATTGTCTGTGCTATAAAGTATTTTGCAAAAGTGAGTGTCATAAATAATGAGCATTCTTTCCAGGTTTGATGGATGCATTCAAATGTATTTCCAATGATCCTATCATTTAATAATGCCAGCCACCCCCTCTAGGGGAAGCTGGTCTCTGGTGGAGATCTAACACCAACAACACTCAGAACAAAGGCAAATCCTTATATTTATAGACATTAGACAGTCTCTGAGCTCAGAGGTGTGGGGTCTCTGAGTTTTGCAGATTGGTGAAGGTACTAAATAGGATAGTAGGCCTTAATTTAGGAAGCTAGTCTTATTGTCTCAGCCTGCCTTGGGGCTGCTACATGCTAGGAGTTCAGCAGTTTAGGGAAGGTATTCAATAGGATATAAGGCAGGAATGATCCCTTCTACAAGGGTAGCCTCTGTGAAATAACAGGGGATACCTTCCTTTGTCTTGTTTTTCCATTATTTAAGATGTGTTTGCTTTCTCTGCAGTTGTACTACAAACTAACAAAAATTCTTTCCTTAAGGAGATATAAACAAGGTCTACCCCTTCCTTATAAGTCCCCAATAACAAACCAAAGTACTATTCCACCAAAGTTCAACCTGGGGAACCAAGGAGTTTATGGGGCTTATTTACAGAGCAGAGTGAGGGTTGCCCACTGGCAGGTGGGTGACCCCAGAGCAGCCACACTAGAAAGTCTTCACACAGCATGGGTAATAGCTTCCTCAGAGCTACCTAGGTGGAGCTTTCCTCAGTTAACCTACCCCACCCTATATACCCCAGCATCTCCAGACACCACTGAGGCCAAGTACAATTAAGGCAGAATGGCATGCTAATGGTTGGGAGGAGCAGTTAGAATCTGAGGTGAGGATCCAATGATATACTCCAATCCCTTCTCTGAGGAAATGTCTGAAGTCTATGGGCCTTATTTATTGTAATGGTCTCTTAAAAGCAGGCACAGCTGATCTGTTGAAGATGGCAGCTGTTTTGCTCTGAGGACCACAGTCTAAAACAGGGATATGGATCCTTGGCCTGCATAAATTACCAGGTTCTTGGGAGATTCTATTGTGGTAAAGTGTATGGTGTATATGGTACTGTAGACTATGATGATTTTCAAATATAAGGTCTATTTTATTATTAAATTAAAAAATTCTTGATGTTTTCCTATTTAGCCATGTGTGATTAGTAATCAAAAGAGTTTATGGCAAATTTTGGGGGATAGTACATTTATTTATTTTTACCATATACTTTATATTTTTTTAATGTCTTATTTACTATTTTTTAAAATACTTTATTTATTATTTTTATTTTATGTGTATGAGTGCATTGCCTGAATGTATGTAAGTGCACCAGATCCCCTGGAACTGTTAGCCACCATGTGGGTGCTGAGAACTGAACCCAGGTCCCCTGCAAGAGCAGCCAGTGCTGTTAACTGCTGAGCCAATCGCTCCACTCTCTATACACTTGATATATTTTTATGTAAATGTGCAAAGTAATGGGTTTTGTTACGACATATTCACATTTTCATACATGTGTAGCCCTCCCCATTTGCAGCTAGTTCCCTTCCTCCCAAGTAGTCTCCCCTTCTGCTTTTATGCCAATTATTTCAACTACCATTTCCCTATTTCCCTTGAGATCTCTTCATCCCCTCTCATGATCTCTCTCTCTCTCTCTCTCTCTCTCTCTCTCTCTCTCTCTCAACACACACACACTCACACATACGCACACATATCATTTTAAATTTAGGATCCACATATGAGAGAAAACATACAGTATCCTGAGTCTGGCTTATTTTGCTTAATATAAAGATCTCCAATTGAATCCATTTTCCTGCAGTTGCTGTGATTCAATTTTTTTCTTTATGGTTGAATAAAACTTCCTTGTGTATATGTACATTTTCTTTTAGGGTGACTCTAAAAATATTTTATTGATTTATTGAGAATTTCATATAATGTACTTTGATCATGTTCAGACCCCTTTACCCCTTCTCTCTCCACCCACACTTTACTTCTCTCCCTACCCCCACTTCTTTAACCAAGAGTGGTATAGCTAGGTTTTATGGTATGTATATTTTTTAGGGATAGCGCATTTAGACCTTGACTTTCCAGAGACTTTCCAAGTTTGCCTAAAGATAAGAATGACCTGGGGCCATTTTAAAAAATAGATTCTTGGATTCTACCCCAGACCTACCAAATACAAATTGCTAAAAGACAAAGTTAATCATACAATAGAGAATGACCCCAGATAAATCTTTTTTTAACTTTTTAAAAAAATTTATTTTTTTTTTTATTTTATGTGTATGCGGGTATTGCCTGCATGTAGGTAAGTGCACCCATGTCGTGCAATGCCCGCGGAGGTCAGAAGAGGCTGTCAGATCACCTGGGGCTGGAGTTACGGGCAGTTGTTAGCTGCCATGTGAGTGCTGGGATTCAAACCCGGGTCTTCTGCAAGAACAACTAGTGTTCTTAACTGCTCAGCCATCTCTCCAGCTCCAACCCCGGATAAATCTTATCTTCAGGCAAGTGTGGGAAATTCTGCTATAAGCTGTTAGTCACGTATCAAAGCTAACTCATTAAGAATTCTTTCTGAGAAAGGCCTTTCAGGTAAGGGAAAAAATAAAGAAAACCTATGAAACAAAGCTTGGAAGGAGGCTCCCACAGGGCAAGCAAACATTGATCAAAATTATGCCTACAGCTATTCTAGAGAACACCTCCTCAAACTTCCTTGTCCTTGCACCTCAGGTCCTCAGCCTCACTCTAGGGGGAATATGAATTATAGCTAATCTAATTTACCAGCTGAAGCAAAAGGGTTAAGGTTCTTTTCTGACTCAACCCAACTGGTAATGTTCTAGAAATTTCTTAGTGCTACAGTGGCTTTGACCAGTTGGCACTCCTCTTAGATTCCTTTTTCCAGAGTTCTTCCAGCTCCCAGCCTTCTTTGAAAGAATATAAAGTACTATATTGTTGCTGTATTTTTGTTTGTCTTTAGGTGATGAGGGCTGGTGGACCTAGTCTCACCCACCTTGTTATCCACAGTGCTTTGCACTGTGGCTAACATAAATCGTAGGGCTAAGGTGAGCTGACTGTTGAAATTGTCTGTTCACTATCTACTTTACCTCCTTGACAAGGAACTTATTGGGGGAAACCAAAATTCTACTTTGAAGCTTTATGTCTTAGCTTCATGTCATGC